ACACACACACACACACACAGGACCCTTTTATGGACTTTCCCAGGCAGTCGAGGCTTTGCTCACAGTCTCAAGGGGGAATTGGCAGAATAGGTTCCACATGGTTCCTCTGCAACCAGACCATGCTCACAGCCACAAAGACACACCCACACACACACACACACACACACACACACACAGGGTTGTGCATAAGGTTGCATACTATGCACATACATTGAACATGCGCAGAGGTTTGCCTACACACAGACTGTGCCAGACTCCAGTCACTCCCACACAAAGGCCTCTGGGCGATGGAGGGTCTTCAAGCCAAAGACATTTTTCCGAATCGCCATGGTGACAACAAAGGTGTCAATCACACTTGTATGGAAAGAACTTGAGGAAGTCAGTGTGGTGCATCAAAGTGAAGGTGGCTGAGAACGACTGTGACTTTCAAACTGTGCATGATGCACTGTGCAACACAACTGGTGGATAACACTCTTTAAGGAGAAAGAAATTACTGGTTCAGACTTAAATAATGATCTTATGGTGTATTGAGATCAGCTTTGTTATTCAGAGGTGATGCCACAGACAAGGAGAATCCTTTCTATATTATTTCTTTCTAAAGCCTTCAGACGATGAAAGTGTGAGCAACAGGACACTGAAGTTCACTTCCGCTGATGTTATTATTAACAATGGTTTACTTTACATTTACCTTTCATTTTAACTTCACTTTAAATGGCTTCTTCAAGGTCACAACCAACAAAATGTCCGCAACTTTCCTTATTATATTTTTTTAAATGTACAGCATAAAAACCCTCCGTTTTCTTTCTTCTTACCAGTCGTTTTCTCTCCTCCTCCATGGTGCTCAACAGCTGAGAGAATTCCTTTAAGGACTGAGCTGCAAAAGAAATTACACACCTTCAATATGGAAAGACTGATCACATTTGACACATTTTGGAGTCTCAACTTGTAGTTTTTTTCATTGGGGACATTTCCCTTTCACCTATATTGATCTCATCATCAGTCTCAGCATCTCCAATACATTCAAACTGGAACTCCTGTAGAGACTGAGAGAACCGCTGAACAGCCAGAGAAAGACCTGAGAGAAAGAAGAGTTCATTCAGTCACTTAAAGCAGGCAACACAATGTAATTACCACCACTTATTTATAACATCATTTCACTATTTTAACATTATGCACAAGATGCAAAATTGAGTTCTTTTGGCCATGTTATATAATTGAATTTGATTTAGATAGAGAAACTTGAATTGTACAAAAGTAA